AATATGTTATTTGTCATTCAAAGTATAGTGGTCCCTTTGTATCCAGGGGCTCCACATCTGCAGATTCAGCAAACCATGGATCAAAAATATTGGGGGAAAAAAGGGGATGGTTGTGTCTTCATTGAACATGTACAGACTTTTTTTTTCCTGTCATTATTCCTTGAATAATATAGTATAACAACTATTTACATAGCATTTACATTATATTAGGTATTATAAGTAATCTAGAAATTATTTAAAGCATACAGGAGGATGTGCATTAGGTTATATGCAAATATCATACCATTTTATAGAAGGGACTTAACTATCCATGGATTTTGGTGTCCCAGAGGGGGTCCAGGAACCAATCCCCCGTGAATACCAAGGGATGACTATGTATCTATTCCTTGCTAAAATATTAAATCCTTCAGATGCTTTTGCTCCCTCTTAGAGTCTGCATACTCCTCATGACTTGGCCCACAGGAAAAGAGCTCCAGCTAAAATATAGAAGGCTGGCCTCCCACTAGACAGCTGTGTCACCCCAACTATGTCATTTAACTTCATTGAACATCAGATTCCTCATCCGGAAAATGCAGATCATCAAGGCCCCTTACACTATAAGACAAACTCTATATACAAGGGGTTCACACTTTTTACCAAGTGGCACTTGAAGACTGTTGCCCTGTTTAAAAATAAAGGTGTAATAGTGGGAATAAGATATAAGAGAAAACACATCAAGTTTTATGATTTATTTAATTTCTGGAACAAACATAAACCAGATTAACCATAACTATACTTTATTAAATGTATAGGAAGTAAATATTCCTTATATGACAAAATGTTTCATCTGTTATAATTTCCAATAATCCTATCAATTATATTTCTAAACATTTCCCCCAAATTCTAAGCAAGGTATGTAAATTAGAAGTTAGCTTAAACCTGCATAACTATCTTATCAAGCTTTGAGTGAAAGAGATTGAAGAGTTCAGATGTGACCAAGATGTTGATGTTGTTTATGAGAATTCTCTGCTCCCTCTTAGAGCTACCTGCCCACATACCCCAAACATGGAGCAGCACTCCAAGTAGAATTATAAAGAAGATGATGTCTGTGTTAACATTATTATCACCCTAAATTTTGTGCATAAAGTGAATAAGCACAGCAGTATTAAAAAGTAAGCAAACAGAATCTGGAATTCATCCAATCCAAATGTGGCATCTTTGAACCTGAAAAGAAAATAAAAAAGTTAGGAAATTAATTTATTTTATTCAGATTGCAGATCTCAGCACCAAACTTGTCTAACCTCTACTGTGTAGATTACCTTTTTAAAAGAAGTAACTGCAGACAGTTCTCCAAACCCATTACAAAGAGTATATCTAGTTAATGTATCCCACTGGTGCTCCCAAAATCTTAGAAGATAAAATGCTGATATGGTGTTTCGGTCAATGATGGACTGTATGTCTGACAGTGGTCTCATACGATTACAATAGCATATTTTTAAGATACCTTTTCTATGTTTAGATAGACAAATACTTAACCATTGTATTACAACTGCCCATAGTATTCAGTACAGTAACAGGCTGTACAGGTTTGTAGCCTAGGAGCAAGAGGTTATACCATATAGCCTATGTGTGTTGTAGGCTACAACACCTAGGTTTGTGTAACCATTTCTCAGAACATGTTCCCATCATTAAGTAACACATGACTATATTAGAGTTCAGGTCCTGGCTCTACAATTTAGTAACAGTGTGACTGGGCAGATCATCCACCTTCCTGATGCTCTCCCAAATCAATACCCCGTTCTGGAATATAACAGGATATTTGAATGGGTTTTCAGCATCAAGATACCCTGGGCAGTAGAATTTCATGAAAAGCTGGATCTTATACCTCTGGACTCCAACTAAAGATGCAGAGAAGGAGTTCCTCCCTCTCTCTTGCTTCTAGATCTCCTTGTAGTCACATCTATCATAGTATCATTATATCAAGTTATAACAATCTGTTTCCTTTTATCTCCTCTAGTGGCCTGGGAGCCTCTAACAGGCAAACACAGTCCCCACACAGGAATGGGACATCTGCAGAACTGTGTAACTTCTCTCGTCTGTCTGAAGAATAAAACAGCTATTATACAAAGGAAGAGAGTGGTTCATTTTTGAAAGCCCTCTTCTCAGCAGAGATGTCCAATGTGGAAATGACAGAAGAAAGATGAAAGCCTTGCAGGTAATGTGGGTAACCACCTGCCTCTATCTTGCGATACCACACTGGCAGTTCCTTTGCCCTCCCTGTAGAGTCAGTAATGTGGCCACCACTGGGGCCATAAACCTTTTTCATGCCACTCCATAGGAGAAGGGAATGTGACCCTATAGGATTCCTCTTTGCCTGCTAAAATGCTACTCTGTCAATGTTCTCCACATAGTGAGGGTTATCATGTTTGGGCTGTCTATAAGTAGTTCCCAGTGAAACAAAAAACATTTAATTAAGGTCAAGAACTTACCTCCATGATGCTGGCTACATGTTTCGATCTATGAAAAAGACAGTGAAGAAAGAAAAAGGAAGATATTAAGTTTTACTTTTAAAATACCATGTACTATTTGTTTACATTGTGTTAAAACAAAACAAAAAACACCATGTACTAACAAATGTCTAAAACTATTAGAAATAAGGCTGGCAAAACAGGCTGCTGTTCCTATCCATGAATACAGTACCTTGTTTGGAGCTACCCAGCAGGAACAAGCCCTGCCTACTAGCCTCAGATACCAATCCAGCCAGAGAATACTGGAGGAGTCCAGGATTATAGGATCCTAGGATAGCAGGACTTACAAACAAAGGCCTACACCTTCCTGAGATGTTCGTTAGTGCTAAATATACCTAAAGCTGCCACGAAAGCTGAGGAAGTCAGTAGGTAAGAAGTGTTAGGAGTGCCTATGTATTCATGCGACTGCTGCTGCTCCCTGCTCAACTGCAGGGAAACTGCTGGTTCAGAGACCATGCTGTGCAGCAGTCTCTCAGCAGGTGTCACTAATCTGATCTTTAAGCACATTCCCTGACAATCCCAATATGCAGATTTTTTTTTTTATCAGATGGCATGGGACTCATTCAGGGCAGTATGGCCATAGATGAATTTTTTTATATCAAAGCAGCTTTATGACATGACTATTCATACACAACTTTCAACAGCCTACAAAAGAACGTAAGACTTACCCCACTTTACTGTCTTGGGTGTTGGGAAAGTCACATGGCTCACACGGCAGGCATACTCATCTTTTTCATTGGGGGTAAACTCGGTGTAGTACAAGAGATAGAAAGACCAGTCCTTGCTGAAAGACAAGTCTGAATGCTCCACGTTTTCAATTTTCTGTCCATTCTTCAGTAAGTCAACTTCAATGTCAGATGGATGAAACCCAGACACATAGCAATTCAGGTAATTTGGCTTTCCATTCTCTGCCGGATGACGTGAGTAAACCTGAATCTTTGGAGCATCTGAAAACATCAGGAAAAGACAAATGAATATTAATTACCAGGGTATTTCAATTGGGGATAACTTGGTCTCAAGCTAGATTAGGCACCACGTGTTTACATTTGATCATCGATTTATCTCCCAATTCCATTTCCACTCTGGCCAAATGAGCTTCCACCTTCCCAACAAGCCACCTCCATTTTGAGGAATAAATATGACTTGGTATCTTTCCCATGTAATTCCTCTATACATGCCTTTTTGTTTTTTTCTAGCAGATTTCTAGCAGTATCTTCTGTCATCAGAGATTGTGCTGCATTTTTAAAAGCCTTTTTCTGGAGGCTCTCAAGGACTTCTGATGGCTTCTCAGCACCCATAGCATTCCTTAACACATCCCTCAAGAGACTACATGATTTGGCCCCAAGCTACTTTTCAAAATTCATTTCTCAGTTCATAATAGCCCCATCAAATTACTCATGTTATTGTACTGATTCCATCCCTTCCGTTTGTTTCTTATGCTTACTCCTTTCTTTTTGGTTTCTGCTCCTGCCTTGATCTACACCCATCTGATTTTCTAAAATGTATTAAGTATCTAGTAAAGTGCCTGGCACATAGCAATTGCTCTGTAAGTGGCAGCTGTTATTATTGTTACCTCAGGTTCCTAAGTGGATCAACCCAAGGTATGTTCCTATTTACTTATTTTTATTTTTTGGGATGGAGTCTCATTTGCCTAGGCTGGAGTGCAGTGGTGAGAGCTCAGCCCACTGCAAATTCTGCCTCCCAGGTTCAAATGATTCTCCTGCCTCAGCCTCCCCGGTAGCTGGGACTACAGGCACATGCCACCACACTTCGCTAATTTTGTATTTTTAGTAGGGACAGGGATCATATTGGCCAGGCTGGTTTCGAACTCCTGAACTCAAATGATCCACCCTCCTTGGCCTCCCAAATTCCTGGGATTACGGGTGTGAGCTACCACACTCACCTAACCCAAGGTATGTTCTTAACAAACAACAAAAGTTCTTTATTTCCACTTAAGGTTTATATGCCAAACCCCTCTCTGATTTTGTACCTGATTTCATGAGCTAGAAAACAAAGAAACAAAGCCTAAATGCATACAAGAGTTGGCAGATACCTTAAATGGTTGATTTGGACCCAATAAAACACAATAGGGATAGGTGAGGACTATGGCAAATGGGACAGAGCATACTCTCCATTATGATCAAATGGAATAATGCATGTGACAGTGGGATTTGCATTTTAATTAGCATCCACAGGTGATTTCTGTAACTAGCCAGGTTGGGAATACATTGCCTAATGTTATAAAACCAGTGCTTCCAAAGTGAGAGGCATCACTAGACCAACCATGGAGAAGTGGGAAGAAAATATTACAAACTCTGTATTATTCATCGAAAATGAAGAGAAGTGTTAGTGCTACTAAATATACAGATTGGCACTAAATATGTGTATAAAATTCCTTTAAATATACATATATTCAGGGTACATGATCACTAAAAGGCAGCTACTCCTCCATGTCTGGGAGGTGGTAGAGAGGAGGAGGAGTACCAGGCCATCTAGACCAGATACTTCTAGAAACACCCTATCATCAAGGAAAGGCTACTAGCCCCATCAAGAAGTGGACTGGGGATCCTAATGAAGAGCTGATTTTTTTTCATAGCATTAAAAGCTAAGAGAGCTCTTTGCATTTGAGCTTCTAATAATAAGAACATAATAAATGCCACAGGAGTCAGAGCACAGATTCATCCTTCCTGGAATTCTCTGTGAGGGAAGGAGGCAAGATTTTGTGAGAGCATCACTGTAATCTTTTCTAAGACGAGGACAGTTATCAGACAGGCTGAGTTTCAATTTCGGCTCAACCAGTTACTGGCTTTGTGACTTTTGGAGAGTTAGTTAAGTTTCCAAAGCTTAACTGAAAAATTAGTTTATGCCCACAGTAAAACAAAACAAAACCCACACACAGGACAGAGGGGAAAATAAACCTTCAGGGGCAATCACCATTACATATTTCTCGTGGTATCTTCCAGAAATGGTCTATGTATGGCACGGATTACTTTGGAAAATTTCAAAATAAGATTTTCTTAAAAAACATCAGTGTTATTTCTTAAAACAACATCTAACATAACTAGCAAATCCAATAATGGTGATGACATCTACATTATTCTTTATTTTGTAAATAAATTGTATTCAAATTAAATGTAATTTTCTCATGATCAAAACATTTCTTTGATCATTTTTTTGCCAGGCAAAAGGTGAGAGAGCTTAGTGTATTGCCAGGTATTTAGAAAGTGCTCAAGATCTTTGGTGTCTTCAACAGTCTTGGTAACCATCTTGGATTATCTTTATTAATGGTTTTATAACTCCCCTGACTTTGACAAACCTTCACTTTTTCCTTTTTTTTTTTCGTTGTTGTTATTCTTGTTTTTGAGATGGAGTCCCAGGCTGGAGTGCAATGGCGCGATCTTGGCTCACTGCAACCTCCACCTTCTGGGTTCAAGCCATTCTCCTGCCTCAGCCTCCCGAGTGGCTGGGATTAGGCACCCGCCACCACGCCCGGCTAATTTTTGTATTTTTAGTAGAGACAAGGTTTCACTATGTTGGCCAGGCTGGTCTAGTACTCCTGACCTCAGGTGATTCTCCTGCCTCGGCCTCCCAAAGCGCTGGGATTACAGGCGTAAGCCACTGTGCCTGGGCTTCTTTTTCTTTTTTAAGAGACAGGGTCTAGCTCTGTTTCCCAGGCTGGAGTGCAGTGGCGCCAGGATAGCTGAAACCCCTGGGCTCCAGAGATCCTCCTGCCTCAGCCTCCTGAGCAGCTGGGACCCCCCCAGGCACGAGCCACCACACCCAGCTAATTTTTATTTTTATTTTTTGTAGAGACGAGGTTTCGACATGTTGACCAGGCTGGTCTCAAAACTATTGACTTCAAGCGATCCTCCCACCTCGGCCTCTTAAAGTGCTGGGATTACAGGCGTGAGCCGCTAAACCCAACCCCTTCACATTTTCAAAACTGAAAGTAAGAGACACAGTACAACTTGGAAAGAACCCGGCAAAGCGCCAAAGAGGAAGCCCTCTCTTAAGAAAAGACCACAGGGCCCACGGCCGCCCAGTTTCCTCTGGAAAATCTTACGCAGAAGGTAGGCGTGTTTCCGAAAAAAAACATACTGATTACAGCCAAAAGGCACTCGCACCCGCAAAAGGCCCTTGTCAGGCTTGATTTCAATCTTGATTGCTGCCATTTATCTCCTGTGTAATTTTCTTAAAACCTCAGTGCCTCAGTTTCCTCATCTGTAAGAGGCAGAAAATAACCATAGTAGTTATCTATGGCGGAAACTGCTTTGTAACACAGCCACCCATTCTACAAAGGTCGCGTGCTGTCTCCTCCCCACGGTGTGGCCCCACATGGACCCGGAGGTGCCAGGGCGGGCTAACTTAGCGGGCGCCCAGACGACGTCCACAGCTCTCCGGTCCGAGGAAAGCAGAGCCGCAGCGGACTGGCTGACCCGGGCGACGCCTCCCCCAGAACCCAGGCGCCTCTCCGCGCGTTCACAGCCCTCAGCTCCGCGCCTTTGGCACAAGCCTACCCGTCCCCACTCCAGCTACGCTCGCGTAGCCCGAGGCGAAAGAGCGGAAGAGAAACTTTCCCCCCACCTCGGCGCTCTGACGCCTATCAACGCACTAAACTTCGTCCCGGCCCTCCCGACCCCGCAGGCCAAAGGTCTCTCCTGCTCCCCGCCTAAAGGAGCAAGAAGCGCGCGTCCCGGGGGCGCACCGCCCCCCCGCCCCGCGACCCCCAGGCCACCCCACCGCTTCTCCGGAGACCGAGCCCTGAATTAGCCCCCCGGGGGGCCACGAAGGAAAACTTGGAGGTAACGAAACAAGAGAGCACAGAGAGGGTGGGGGCGGGAGCGGAAGGACCAGCGCCGGACGGGAGGAGAGACTTACGCTGGATAGCCTCCAGGCCAGACAGAGAGAGTAGCACGAGCAGTGCTGCCACCACGGAGCGAGCCATCTCGACCCAAGTGTAGTCCGCCTCAGTAATGCCCGCGCGACTCGACGCCGCTATTTATAGCATACGGAGTCGGGCACAGCCTATCAGGACAAGGCCCGCAGGGACAGCCAATCAGGACAAGGCCCGCGGGGACCGTCACCGGTCTCCAAGCCAGCGACGCCGTGCCAGGTTAGAGAAAGGGACTTCCCCGTTTTCAGTTTCCTTTTCTTAAAATCTCGTGATGTTTAGGAAGGCATGCGCCGGATTGGATGAGTTTGCCGTCTGTACATTGGCGATCTTTGATCTGGGGTGCGCACACCAGCTTGGGACACGAGGCACTCATTCTAGGACTTCAGGCTGGAGGCACCGTAAGCTGGCTTTGCAAACGGGCCTTAGAGATGCTAAGTGACTCGCTAACCGTGCCCCAGCCAGTTAAGGGCTGGGACCTTCACTTTTAATTCGCGGAAACTGAAACCCAGCAGATTTTCTTTGAATGCTACCTGGCAGAATGAGAATTTCGATTTATAACTACAGCCCGGGAATTCACTGAAGGGTTTCTTAATTCTCTGGGCAAGAAAAAATAGTCCCAGAAACATCCTGAGGGGAGCTCAGAGAAGGTTCTAGCGAACGAGGACCTTTCTTGCTTCTTGAATCCCTTCAGGAAAAAGTGTTTGGAAAGTTATTTGCCAAGAAGTTCCTCCCTGTGTCCTCGCAGTTTAGGTAATTTTCTTTGTTCTGTTGATTTGCAGGGAAAAAAACACCTGACCACTGATAGTAAAAGCAGCAACTGCTTAGGGCTTTGGAGCTTCCAGAAACCTTCAGGTACATCATTCTCTCAGTTTCCACCCTAGAACAGGGCCTGACACACAGTAGCTACTCAGTAAACTGGATGGATGGATGGATGGATGGATGGATTAGTGAATACATAAATAAACTGCAGGAGGAAATAATTACCCCAGTCATTTTATGGACAGGGGAAACAAAGGCTAAGAGACTAGAAATCAAACTCTAGCCTGATTCCATTGGCGTTCATGTTTTAGACACTGAAAGACAAAGGGCTCGGCGATTTTAGTGGGAATTTGCATTGCATCTGCTTTGGTCCCTGCCAAGGACGTTAAACATGACAGGCAGACCCATTAGGAAAACCTACGGGCTCTAAGGAGACCATAAATAAAGTGCTGCCTTTTCGTGGTGGCTGAGTCCAAAGGTCTTTTCTGAGAGGAACAGTGAGAAGAGGAAGTGGACCATGGGGATGGGGAGCCGCAGAGACCTTGGAAATTACCATGGTTTTCAGTTGAAAGGATTTGCCTAGCTTCCCCAAGGAGCACAATAAATACCTTCTGGGTTTCTTTTACATATTTTTAGGCTTTTGATAATCCTTATTGTGGAGGCCATGCCTAAACTAAGAAAGTAGAATGCTATCCATGAACCTAATTAAATGAGATAATGCACAGAGAGAGTCTCCCGAAATGCCTGGCACATAGTAAGTATTCTATAGTGTTTAATAAGTTCCATAATTACTAATATTATTTACCTAGTTTTTCTACCAGCCCTTTCAATAACTAAAATATAAGAATAATTGTTGGACTGGGTTCGGTGGCTCACGCCTATAATCCCAGCACTTTGGGAGGCCAAGGCGGGTGGATTACAAGGTCATGAGTTCAAGACCAGCTTGGCCAAGATGGTGAAACCCTGTCTCTAAAAAAAAAATTTTTTTTTAAAGAATAATTGTTATGCATAAATGTATGAGTTAAGACACACTCTTGCTCCCTCTCTTCTCCCCCTTTTATTTATTTTTTATTTATTTAATAATTTATTTGTTTTTTTTTTTTTTTGAGATGGAGTTTCGCTCTTGTTACCCAGGCTGGAGTGCAATGGCGCGATCTCGGCTCACCGCAACCTCTGCCTCCTGGGTTCAGGCAATTCTCCTGCCTCAGCCTCCTGAGTAGCTGGGATGACAGGCACTTGCCACCATGCCCAGCTAATTTTTTTTGCATTTTTAGTAGAGACGGGGTTTCACCATGTTGACCAGGATGGTCTCGATCTCTTGACCTCGTGATCCACCCGCCTCGGCCTCCCAAAGTGCTGGGATTACAGGCTTGAGCCACCATGCCCGGCTCTCCCCCTTTTAAAAACTCATTTAGGGCACTAAGGGCCTGAAATGTTAGTGTTGAGTTGTACTAGAAAGGAGCCTTAGAAGTTTAGCAAGAGACAGGGCTATTTTTGCCTCTAATTTCTTGTTTACTACATCACAGAAAATACTGTAATTTTTTTTTTTTAACAGAGCCTCACTTTATCACCCAGGCTGGAGTCCAGTAGCATGATCTTGGCTCACTGCAACCTCTGCCTCCCAGGTTCAAGAGATTCTCCTGCCTCAGTCTCCCAAGTAGCTGGGACTACAGGTGCGCACCACCACACCCGCCTAATTTTTTTTTTTTTTTTTTTTTTTTTTTTTAGTAGAGATGGGGTTTCACCATGTTAGCCAGGATGGTCTTGATCTCCTGACCAATGTGCTGGAATTACAGGTGTGAGCCACCACACCTGGCCAAAAAATACTATGTTTAAAATCCATTACAGATAGATTCTGACTTACTCACTTGGAAAACCAATTTTAAAAGCAATTAAAAACAGTAAAGGAGAAAAGTCTATTTTTCAGTTTTCTGTATTGGGGAACACCTGTATTTTTCTTGGATTTACCATTTATGTCAGATTTTGAAAAGTGAGGGTGAAAATGATATATACAACCATTTGTTTAAAAACAAGAGCACTGTTTACCTAGGAGGATAAATTTTGGAAGTCTACAAACGTGAAAATTTCCTTTTTTTTATTTTTTAATTTTTTGTGGAGACAGAGTCTTGCTGTGTTGCCTAGGCTGGTCTCAAACTCCTGGCCTCAAGTGATCCTCCTTACTCAGCCTCCCAAAGTGTTGGAATCACAGGCATGTGTTACCATGCCCAGCCACAAATATGACAGTTTAATAGCTTTATCTCCCAATAGTGCAATTAACAGATTAACAGGGGCCTTTTTTCCCCTATATAACCTTAAAATTTTTTTGCCATGGACACTTATTCAAAATAGTAAATGTTGGCAAGAATTTAGAAGAACTGCACTTTGGGAGGCCGAGGCGGGCGGATCACTTGAGATCAGGAGTTTGAGACCAGCCTGGCCAACATGGTGAAACCCTGTCTCTATTAAAAATACAAAAATTAGCTGGGCATGGTGGTGGGCATCTGTAATCCCAGCTACTCAGATGGCTGAGGCAGGAGAATCACTTGTACCTGGGAGGCAGAGGTTACAGTGAGCTGAAATTGCGCCATTGCACCCCAACCTGGGTGACAGAGCAAGACTCTGTCTCAAAAAAAAATAAAAAAATAAAAAATTTTAAAAAAAGGAAAACACTTCAACAGCTTTTTATAGAGTTAAACATATACTGACCATAAGATCCAGCCACTCCACTAAGAGAAAATGAAAGCATGTGTCTATACAAAGACTTGGACACTAATGTTTATCGCAGCTTTATTTGTGATAGCTGAAAACTAGAAACAATCCAAACATCCAAACATACATCAACAGGTAAATGAATAAACCTATTGGAGTATATATCCATACAATGAAATACCATCATCAACAAACAAGGAATAAACTGTTGATACATGTAACATGGTAAATAAAAGAAGCTGGACAGAAAAGAGCATATACTATATGATTCCATTTATATAAAACTCCAGAAAGGGCAAACAAATCTGTATGATAGAAGTAGATGAGTGGTTTCTAGAGGGCAAGGGGATCATCTAAACATGAGGAAACTTTAGGGTTGATGGATAGGTTCATTATCTAGAGTTTGATGATTTCTCAGGTATATTTTAGAACTCATTGTATACTTTAAGTGTAATGTATGTCGCTTATAAATATTTAAAAGGCCATAGCCAGGGGAAGGTGGAACAAGATGACCGAATAGAAGCCTCCACTAATCTTGCTCCCTGCAGGAACACCAAATTGAATAACTATCCACACCCACAAAAGCACCTTCATAAGAACCAATCAGGTGAGCGATCACAGTACCGGTTTTAACTTTGTATCACTGCAAGAGGCATTGAAAGGGTAAGACAGTCTTGAATTGCCAAATGCTATCTCTCCCCCATCTCCTGCAGCAGCCGCGGCAAAGAGAGAATTTGTGCTTCTGGGACAGGAAGAGTGATTGTCAGACTTTGCATTGGAACTCAGTGCTGCCCAGTCACAGCACAAAGCTGCACTGACAAGAACTCATCCATGGAGGGGTCATTTAGACCAGGTAGAGGCAAATCATCCACCCCAGCAGTGGGAACCTGAGTTCCAGTAAGCCTCACCACCATGGGCTGAAGTGCTTTGAGGTTCTACATGAACTTGAAAGTCAGTGTAGACCACACGGATGGCAATTACTGGGCAAGTTTTTGTGCTATGCTGGGCCCAGAGCCAGTGGATGTGGGGAGAACACAACCTAGTGAGACACTAGCTGGGATGGCCAAGGGATTGCTTGCACCACCCCTCTCCCAGCCCGAGGCAGAGCAGCTCAAAGCTCAAGGAGAGACTCCTTTCCCGTGTTTGAGAAGAGGAGAGGGAAGAATAAAGATGACTTTGTCTTCCATCTTGGATACCAGCTCAGCTGCAGTAGGATAGGGTACTGGGCAGAATCCTGAGGCCCACATTCCAGGCCATAGCTCCAAGCTGACATTTCTAGCCACACCCTGGGCCAGAAGGGAACTTGCTGCCTTGAAGGGAAGGACCAGTCTTGGCAGGATTCCTCACCAGCTGACTGAAGAGACCTTTGGCCCTGAATAATAAGAAGTAACCAGGGAGTACTCATCATGGGCTTTGGGTGAGACTAAAAAACATGCTGGCTTCAGGTATGACCCAGCACATTCCAGCTGTGGTGGCTATGGGGAGAAATTTCTTCTGCTTGAGAAAAAGAGAGGGAAGAGTTAAGGGGACTTGGCTTCTGTGGGGTTAGAATACTAAGTGGGCTCTTAGGGTCTCTGATTCCAGGGCTTTGGCTCTTGGATAGCATTCCTGGACTTGCTCTGGGCCAGAGA